ATAGAGATCCGCATTTTTTATCACTTTGTATTAAAATTAAAAAGAAGTACTGAAAAGAAACGATCATATTAACTGTAAATCATGAACATGATTATTGTTATGGCGAAAACCGAAGATGAGCAAAAATTGTTCAAGATTCAATCAATCAATTAAAAGAACGTAAACAATCGTAATTACTACTATTATAAATGTGACAGTTTAGATGGATGGATGTTTGTTAGGGTTTGTAGCCTAAACGGCTGAACGGATTTCGATGAAATTTGGTATAGATGTAGAGGATAATCTGTAAGAACACATAGGCTACTCACTTTTGTATTGTTTTTAATATCACGCGTACGGAGTCGCGGGCCAAAGCTAGTAAAACAAAAATGTTGCAAATACAATGGATAGATTGTGTATGACATTTTTATAATGAAACAGTTTAAACTTTAATGGCATGCTCGATTTTTTTATGAAAACTTTCCAAGCATTTTATCTCTGAAATATCCAATCGCGCGTTTCCGATTAAACAAAAAAAATCACTAGATGAATATAAAATACCGGCTTTTTAATTAACTCCTTTATTTTGAGTGAAAGGTTATATAAAACTATAATATATTGTTATGTTCAACGATAGCATTATTGTCAGTAATTACAATAACATATACGACAAATTAAGAAACTCTAAAAACACCCAGACAGTGGTAGAGCCCGCTTTAACATCTTCGCACGAATGGGTTGGCTCGCCCGGTGCAATACCACGACCACACTGAAAACAGGCGTGAAGTGGAAGCAATTCCGCGTTTGGTCTGATGAGTATGATGCCGGAGGCCTAATTTTGGTCCCTTTCCCTTTCCACCCTTTTCTTAAGAGGAATGAATGGGAAGGAAAAGTGGACTTGACGGTGGAGGAGATACATAGGAAGGGGAAATGTCCTCTTTATGTGCGTCTCCTCCTCCGTCAATTAAGGGTAGGCAACGCATCTGCAATTGCGGATATTTGTGTGCAGCGGTAGCTTTCCATTTCGGTGGATTCAGGTGGTTGCTTACTCGTTTGCCACCTTATATTATAAAAAAACCAACAGTAACATACCATACCTTTGTTATTTAGAGAAAAAGCTATGTTAAAAAAATATGATAAATATTGTCATAAAGGTTAACAAATGTACGCCATTTTGTTATTTGCCACTTTTTAACACGTTCATTTATTGTTAAATGTTCACAGAATACATAATTAGAGGGTATTAATTTTTTCCACGGCCACGTATACTTTGGATTTATAACTGTCAAGTTATAAACGGTTAATAAAATTATTGTATGCCAGCTTTCCCTAGGGCGGAATTAAAAAACAAATGTAAGTACACATAGGCAATGTGTTTATCTAGACCAGAGTTCCTCAAACTTTTTTGTGTCCTAGATTTTTTTTTTATATAAGGTGGCAAACGAGCAAGCGGCCACCTGAATACACCGAAATGGAAAGCTGCCGCTGTCCATACACATCCGCAATTGCAGATGCGTTGCCTACCCTTAATTGTCAGAGGAGGAGACGCACATAAAGAGGACATTTCCCCTTCCTACACGTCTCCTCCACCGTCAAATCCACTTTTCCTTCCCATCCTTTCCTCTTAAGAAAAGGGTGGAAAGGGAAAGGGGCTAAAATTAGGCCTCCGGCACCACACTTATCAGACGAAACGCGGAATTGCTCCCACTTCACGCCTTTTTTCTGTGTGGTCGTGGTATTACACCGGGCGAGCCGGCTCATTCGTGCGAATATGTTAAAGCGGGCACTACCACTGTCCTAGATCCCTTGTCGATGTTTTTCGATGTTAGGTAGACCCCCTACTTACCTGATATTGATTTCCTTGAAATTTCTAACTGTACTAAAGATTAGTGAAAATATATAAAAATATCGTTTTGGTTTTTTCTATTTTTCCCCTTTAGTAAAAAACAAAGTAAAGAGTACACTTAAACATTTTGTAATTCGATTTAAAAATCATGCTTTTAAGGGTTAAATCAATATTTTTTTTAATAAATTACAACAACTATTTCCTAATACTTAACTAAAAGCGGTTGCTTAATAGCATGGAGTAACCGAAAACTTTGCCAACTTTTCGATATAACTTTCAGTTAAAACTATTAAGTTCGATGCTTAACTATAATTAGTATTTCATCATAAACGTGACAATTAATTAACTAACCAGTAATATAAAAAAATTCCTTACAATCATATACTGATCATACTAATATAGTCAAAAGTTTAACGACTTCTCCCACCACTGGCTGATAGAGGTTTAGATAGCTTAAAAATGACGTCGCTTTGTTCCATATTTCCATCACATATATTCACGTTCGATTGTTATCAGACAATTTACAATTTGGTGGGACAGGCCCTTAATGTATGAATTAAGATGCGGACACCTCATCTAGCACTTTAAATGTGTTTATTGGAAAAAGTTCCATCAATGGTACTGCTTTTACTCAACCACCTGAAATAGCAAATCTAAATTCAAAATTTAAACTATTTGTTAAACGTTTGGAAAGCCATCTTTTTGATAATAGCCTTGAACAGAATATTTCATTTATATACAGTATATTTATGTATATATATGTATGTATTTTATGTAATTCTACACAAAAAAAAACCAGCGCACCCGCGGACATACCAATTATATGGTTTTTGCGGGGCCATATTTGTGCATATTGTTTAATTTGTGTCATGTAATATTTTCAATAAATAAAATAATAAATAATAACTAACTTCTACCTAATTGGTTATTGCTAAAAAGAGACGATCAGTTGCAAGGAACAAGATATTTTTTCTGGTACACCGTGGGTTTCCGCGACTGTACCTTATGGCGTTATTCAGACCAGTTTGAAATAACACTGTTTACTCTCTATTACAATCAACTAGCTGTTGCTCGTGACTTCGTTTGCGCTAAATTGGAAATTATAAAAAATGTTGCCTACTAGCACCGCACTACTCCGTCTGCGGGGAATAAAAAAACAAAAGCAAATAGACTATGTGTCCTTCCAGACTGTTCTACATCTATCCCAGATTTCATCGAGATCTGTTCAGCAGTATAGGTTACAAATTCTAACAATCCATCCATCTAAACTTTCGCATTTATAATATTACTAGCTTTTGCCCGCGACTACGTCGGCGTGGAATTGAAAAAACAAAAGTGTGTAGCCTATGTGTTCTTTCAGACTGTCCTATACATCTATACCAAATTCTAACAATCTAAACTTTCGCATTTATAATATTAGTTAGAAGTTAGATTTGTGTCTGAATAACATAGCTTTGGCCTAATATTATCTAGAAATTAATGGTACAACAACCAACCTCGCTAATTTAGCACTAAGAGCACACCTTTGAGTAAACTATCGCAAAACTGTTATGCGATTGTCTATTGTTTCACCAACTGTTTAGTTACACAACTAAAAATCGAATGTGTGCAACTCCATATAAGCACATAGGAATCAAGGCGAGACTAAACGGTCGTGCGACAGTTTAGTCAAAGGTGTCACGCTCCTAACGTAAGTTGAAAAACATTTTTGTCATTTCATTGCTGAAAAATTTCACGGTAACATCCCTTAAATTGGGCTACATCGTGTTGCCTTAAAGGCAGTCCAATTATATTAAGAAACAAAATGCCACAAAATAATAATATGTACTAGCTGTTACTCGTGGCTTTGTCTGCGTGGAATAAAACAGTATTATATGACTCTTGTATATATCAACTATGTTCCATTAAAAGCCTCGTCAAATTCGGTCTAAAGACAGACAATTTAAATACGGTCTTAAGTCTCTACTTATATTATAAAGAGGATTTTTGTATGTATTGAAATAACTCAAAAACTAGGCCGATTTCAAAAATTTTTTCATCGTAAAAAGCTACGCTATCAGTGATTGACATATGCCATGATTTTATTAGTTTTTAATTTCACGCGGACGAAGTCGCGAGCAACAGCTAGTTATAAATAAGTCTAATACTTCTTGTACGCGAAATATCTTTTTTGTTATCAATATCCATGTATGTTATTTTTAATTATCTGTATTAGATTAAAGAGAAAATTGTTAGTGTCTAAAGTCTTAAGGTATTTTTTTTATTTGCAAAATATTGTAGTTAATTAACATTTAGTATTTACGCAAAAGCACTAAAACTGTTGAAAGAAATAGACAGGACATTTTCTTTCCACATTACTTCGCGGTTTCAGAATTCGCGGGCAAAAAAGTTTGAAGTTTGTCGAATTCACGTCTAAACATTTGGTAGCGGTGTCAAAATATGTTGCCATCCTTCTCATTGCCATTAAAAAAAGAGACAACATGTTTTACTAATAGTGTTTGGTGATACTGTTTTTAGAAAATAAATGATGGGTAAATGAAATCGAAAAACAAAAAGTTCCGAATAAGGACGCGTAGGATGTGATTGTTCTTTCAGATTGATTGATTACGTATAGAGAAATGAGTAAAAACTTTCATCATTATAACACCTACGTACCAATTACTTTTTAATTTACTACTAGCGGTTGCACGCGATCTCGTCTGCACCTTTTCAATTTTTTTTTTGCTATTTAACACGAATTTTTTCGCATTGTTGAAAAAAAAATCATGTTATTTACAGAAACTTCAATATCATTTCCATTTATTTGTATAGAAAAAGAAGAAAGATTGAGCCTTTCAATTTTAAAATATTTTTTTAAATTAAAAACTACAATCTGCACTGAAATACACAGAAATGCTAATAGAAAGTCATTACGCGCGACGTTTCCGAGTAAAATAACAACAAAGCCTTTAAAATAATAACTAATTTAATTGTTTACTTAATTCTTTATCAAAAAGAAAAAAAAAACCAGGCGAAATTGAAAACGTCACTATACTCTGTAAAACAACTGCACGATTCACAATAAAAAAATAATAAAGAAACAAACATTGTCTGGAAACAATTAAAAACATTCTTTAAAATATTCTGGAATGTTCTATAAAATTTTGAAATTCAAAAATGGAATCGTAAAAGTTACCTGAGAGCAGAAATAGCGTGGCTGTGGTCGGCTTCATGTTCCCACCAGAAGTGCCGTATTCCTGGCGTGTACTCGCCTTATAGCAGCCCGGTTATAGCGTAGGACGTTTCAACACTCGATAGTTCTTTTGCCTTTAAATACTCTAGAATCGCTAAAACTTTACTAAAGTTACGAAAGAAAACTTAAAACTTTCCTCGAGGTTAAGGTTAATGCAACTGAGACATTTTAATTGTTTCAGTTATTAACAACTTATAAATAATTTATTTCGTTACCTTCATAACTAATGCGCAAGTTTAGATCGATGGATGGATCGTTGTTAGAGTTTGCCGCCTAAAGGGCTTAACGAATCTCGATGGACATAGATGTAGAGGATAGTCTGGAAGAACACATAGATTACATAGTTGCTACGTTTTTTTTTAATTTAGCGGCAACAAAGTCGCGGGCGACAGCTTAGTTTTGAGTATTAACAGAAATTATACATTTCTTTAAAGCAAAGGATAATCATAATCCTTAGTTTAAATAGATCTTAGTACTGCTGTATGAATTTAAACTGCTCTAATAAATAATAATATAAATAATAATCAATATTTTAGAAACCGCACGACTAGTGAGGAGGTTCCTGTCTCTGCAGCCCTGACCACTGGTTGTTTGAGTCATCGGATTCCGCAGCCGGTGGACTTCTATTTTTTTATATAATATGCTTTATTTTCTTATTTTTTTAAGAAAATCATGTGAAATATATTATATAAAAAAAAGAAAATAAAGATATGAGAATATAATATAAATAATAATATTAATACTTGAAGAGTAAACATTAAAACCCATTATAAAGGAAATTGTGCTAGCTGATGACATACACGATTTTAAATCACAAATAAAAAATCTTTGATTATAGTAATTAGTTATGTTCGTATTTCGAACATAACCTTATTTTAACAATCGATTAAAAAGTAATGCATTTAAGCGCAAGTATCGACAACGAAAGAAAATAAAACATAGCTGGCCAGTATTTATGAGTGACCATGCTAATTATTAACGCGAGAGAAATATCGCCTGTTACGGTAAGGATTTTAATAAAAAATTCCAATGTTTTAACGCATAATCGTTATGTACGATGCTATAAATTATTCTTTTTAACACTGGCTGAATTCCAGTGAAAAAAATATATTTACATAAAATATTTGTTGTCTATGACACCTGGGAAAAGAATGCAAATAGATGAACTCATATAAACGTCAAAAACATTACCCTCTTGTTAGTATGGCAATAATCCTTTATGATAATGTTTAAAGATTAAATTATTAACAGAAATCCACGTGCCCTCAATATACGCAATGTGGTATATTCCTAAGTCGTCAGATTAAACGATCTTAAGCATTTAGAAATGGCCACCCTTGTTAATTACGTTTCTTAGTCAATATTAATCCAAATCGATAATACTTAAATCTTTAAAAATAAATTACCTAACCTATATATTAATTTTCTCAGAATGTACATTTGCAATTAATTATTTTAACTTTATTTTTCATTTATAACTAATACTATAAATGCGAAAATTTAGATGAATGTTTGTTAGAGTTTGTAACCTAAACGGCTGAACGGATCTCGATTAAATGTGGCAGACGTAAAGGATAGTCTGGAAGAACACATAGGCTACTCACTTTTTAATACCACGCGGCCGGAGTGGTAGGCAAAAGCTAGTATACTCTAAAACATTTCTGTTCAAGCTACACTAAGTTGAGGAGTTTTATTTGAGTTTTTACTTTGGAATTAGTTGTTTTTTGTTTAATTATTTTATCTAAGTTGCTCTTTGCCGCTATTTAGTTTTTTTTCTCTTTAGATTGATAAATCTGTTTTGGTTATGAGCTTATTTTATTATTACTAGTGTACAGCGACCTCCGACTATCTACGCTCCCTTTTACATCTTGGGAAGAGGGGTGGCTGAAAACCAGCTCGACACTGGATCTCAACCAGTATCGGTTAAGCTGAGCCTCCCCCTTTTGCCATCTGTTATAACTTTTTCGTGTATGTTTTTTATTTTGTACTACTCTGTGTATTCTTGGATGGCAATAAAGAGGTTTTTATTTATTTATTTATTTAAGTGAGATAACTTTGAGTACGACTGTATAATACAGAATAATATTAACTCTATTGAGAATTCAAACCATTGCAGGATAAAAGCTGGCCGCCCTCTTGCATATCCCTCTCTTTGACGACGTTTTCTCATGAATTTGATAATTTTAAAACGACAACCTTATGTTATTTTAATGTAAAATACTAAAATGTTCTTCTGAATGTATGCAGTGTGTGTCATACTTGAGTTGTTAAGGTCACTTAGAGTACTACCACACTCAGAGTCGTCATCCTGAGTGTATATTTAGTATTAATATTGTCTAAAGTAAAATTGTGACATGAAATTGAAGACATTAAGGGCTTTTAGAGGCTCAGATAGCTTAAAGCTGTCACTGTCAGATATGTTAACAAAATTCAATATTTCCATCGCATATTTTACAGATTGGATTGTTATCAGAGAGTTTACAATCTAGTGGGACAGGCCCTTAGACATGTTTGAGAGTAATGCTCGCTACATACGTTAATTCCTAACTGAAGAATCGAACTATTCAGTTAAAACTGAGAATGTCTTAATATGAAAATACTTCTAATACTTTAATTAGAGAGGAAAATAACTACTCGTATACAACGCATAGTTCTTAACCTGGCCATCTCTTTTAATGTGAATAGGTTATGTTTACGAGAGGATCGTTAAGTGGGCTTTTACTATACATAGATCTATTATTACTTTATAATACAGCTGTGTTCTTACCAATATAACATACACTAACTTTCGCCCGCGACTTCGTCTGCGTGGTATTAAAAAAACCAAATGGAAGTATGCAAACTTTGCAAGCATTCTTGCAAACTAACCTCTACTACTATGCCACCATCGAGATCCGTTCAGCTGTTTAGGCTACAAACTCTAACAAACATCCATCCATCCATCTACACTTTCGCGTTTATAACATTAGTATGATTTTTAAGATTAGTGGTGATACTGGAATAGCTAAACAATTTATTATACTAAAGTTTAAATTTATTAGTAAAAAATTATATCCGAATGTTTAAATTAATGGATGGATCATCATCATCATCATCAGCTCACTATACGTCCCCATCGAGGGGCTAGGAGCCTACACTAAGTAAGGTGACTAGGTTATAATCAACCACGCTGGCCAAGTGCGGATTGGCTGACTTCACACATATATTTGAATTTCATCGCCAATATGTGCAGGTTCCATCACGATGTTTTCCTTCACCGTAAGAATGTCGGGTAAATTATGTACATATGAACATTCGAAAAAATCGAACATCACATTGGTACAGCGGGATTCGAGCCCAAGACCTGTAGATTACAAGTCAAGTGCTTAAACTACTGAGCCACCGACGCCCCTATGGATGGATACTATGCTTGCTAAAAACTGCTTCCTTAAACTTTTGAATTGTTACTTTTGCCTCATTTATGCAGTACACTAAGCGTGCAGTCAAAACATAGAGCTTTGTTAAGGTCAAACAACTTCTAAAAAGTGCCCACGCATTTTAATTACAAAAATGTTAACCTTTACTTTAACTTCCAACTAAAATAAACCGTTAATTTTAAAAGAGTTTTAAAACTTAGTCACTCACGATTAGACTATTTAAAATAATAGTTAAAAGTTACAATAATAAAAATGTCTTTAACTTAACAGTAAGTTGCTGGACGAATATAAAAGTCGTGTAAAAATAAATTCTTCCAATTTTTTTTAAGAATATTTTGAATTTCGAAAAAAAAAAAACATTCTAACACTGGTTTCAAATATGCGCGGTTATGCTCTTATGGAAGAATAGATAATTTTAATTAATTGATTCTCGCACGAGAAAACAATTAGGTTTTCATAAACAAACATGAAATTACAAATTATATCAAATGAGTTAATTAAGTTTGAAATTGTGTCATTGCTAATAAGTGAATTCATTAAAAAAACAAACACATAACACCACGCTAAACTGTACAAAGTTAGGTTATGTTGGTTATATCGAAACATACCCCTTTCGTATCCTATTACTAGCTGTTCTATAAAATATCAGAGCAAAGACTTTTATATAAATTCATCCACGCGGAATTGATATTTCTTATTAAAAAGCCTAACCTGTGCCAAATTTCATCAAGATCTGTCAAACCTAGATAATATTTACAGTGCTAGAGACCGCTGTAAGCTGTAACATCTTCGCAGGAATGGACCGACTCGCCCGAAAAAGGCGCGAATTCCTCGTTTCATTTGTTGAGTGTGGTGCCGGAGGCCTAATTTTAATTCCTTCCCCTTTCCACTTTTTCTTAAGAGGAAAGGATGAGAAGGAAAAGTGGATTCAACGGTGGAGACGCTTAGAAAGGGGAAATGTCCTTTATGTGCGTCTCCTCTGTCAATTAAGGGTAGGCAACGAATCTACAATTGCGGATGTTTATGGGCAGCGGTCGCTTTCTATTTAGGTGGATTCTTATAAAAAAACCGTTTAGGAGATATCTTCTAACAAACATCCATCCATCCAAACTTTAAGTTTAAAAGTATGATTTTTTTGACCGACTTCCCAAAAAAAGGAGGTACTCAATTCGTCTGTATGTTTTTTTTTTATTTTTTTTATGTGTGTTACAGCATAACTCCGCCGCTAGTGGACCGATTTTGATAATTCTTTTTTTATCCGAAAGGTAATGCTTGCAGGTGGGTCCCTTTTTTTTGGTTGATTTTTTCAGCAATATAATCGATGATGTACACAGTAAACAATCCGTCTTACAAACTACTTGAGAGCGTTTGCACACCTGAAACTAATCTATCGCACAACTGTTCATTCTCGTTTTGATTCCTTTACAAGGTCACACTACTCGATTTTTAGTTGTGCAACTAAACAGTTCGAAACTGCGAAACAATCGACAATCGCACAATAGATGTGCGATACTTTTATCAAAGGTGTGTGAACGCTCTAAGAGTTTTTTCCTTGATTGTTTGGAGTCAATAATTGATAAGGATTCGTTTTAATCAACCTATGTAGAATCCATTACAAGAACGACCCACGCTTCATACGTCACTGTCGAATTGCAAAGGGTAATAAGTCGAATAATATGTGACTTTTATAAATCAAGCAATCAGCGTATTCACCAAAATAAAGATACGACCACTGTCCATAGACATTACAGATGACTTTTTATTTTTGGTATCCACAGAAAAATCGTAAGTAACCCTTTATTTGATTTTTAATAGACACCGCATTTTAAAGCGGGAATCCTGTAAAAAATGTAGGTGCGGTATCGAAACAAGATCTCTTGTAAACAACCAATTATAGAAGTCGTAAAAACTCTTGCGAACGCAAAATAAATAATATTGAAATTCCAAGAAAAATGTAATAGCGCTCGTCAACGTACGCAATTTCACAATATGTTCGTTCAATTAAAGAAATCATACAAAATCATTGTCAACATTGTTTGAAAAATACTTTATTACTTAGCTCGTTGCTCGCGACTTCATTCGCGTTCAAATTAAAAAAAAAATATTTATATGGGCAGTATATTATAATTTATGTTACTCACAGTTAAATTACCTTTTGAATGTCACGAAGAATTTTTAAAATTAACCCAGTAGTTACGTGAATACATAAAAATATTTCTCTTTATAATATTAATGATAATGATTTTATTAAGTGATAAATGGCTTAAAGATTTATTGATTCTTTGTAAGGCTTTCAAATTGAAAATATGGAAATTATTTATGTATTTATTAATGACAGATGTATTTTGCCTAAATTTCTCTTTTTTTTACTCAGTGGTTCACGCATCTAAACGTTACACATACAAACTAGAATCAACTTTCATTCAAACTACTACAAATACAGCAATATATCTACTATTCCTAAATAAAGCAAAGAAAATCGCATAATACTAAAAGCTTAAAAAAAGTTTGGTAAATACGCTTTTTAAGGTTTTCAGGCACGTTTACATAACATAATTCTAGATGGCGCTGAATAACTTCATTTCAAATTCGTTTATTAGTTGTTTACAGGTGTAGTTAACAGATGGCGTTGATTGTATTTTCAAAATGTAGTTTGCAGTTAGAATATCAGATAACTACTATTATTTGCAAACTCCAACAAAATGAATAATCTTCGCATTCAAATGAAGACAATAATATATATCTAATTATATTCTAGAAAGTATTTATGAAATAAAAAACAACATTCAATACAAAATTTTATATTTCCATATTACGTTAATTTACAAAAGTACAAAATTCATATAAATGTATTTAAATTAGATTTTTTGAAATTAATTTTGTGAATGTAATTCCTAAATATTGACTAGAGAATTATAAGCATGCATCAATAAATATAAAATCTCAATTTATTTTTAATTTACTTTTTAATAGGCCCTTTACATCTACAGCAAAGTTGATTTTTATCCTTTTTGAAATGTAAATTAAATTCTTGTTTAAATATTTTTCTATACATCGATTCTTTCACCGAAACAACATCTTTATTCTGATTAAAATACAATGTATACATTTGTTTTATACTTAAACTGGAATCTAGATACTGTTTCTTTCTTGAAAACTGTTTAATTGGTTTTCCATCGACTGTACTAAATGACAATATATGATTTCTAACTCTATCCTTTATTTCCGAAGGTAAAGAATGGGCACTTGCTTCCGATAGACCTCTTCCGTCAGGTTTTGGTAAATTCATGTCACTTTTACCGGAATGCACATTATATACACGCTTTTGAGATATAGCTAAAGTACCTAAGTAGAAATCTTTGCAAACCGTATACCTAACACCTCTAACTAGGAAGAAATATTTAAAATAATACTTGCGTTTCGTGTCTATAGATTTACTATGTTTGACATTATTCCTTTCTGTTGTATTTAACAAAAAATGTTTCTTTTCATTCGTATTTAGCGAATAAAATGCTTTAAATAAATGTTGTCGGTCGACATCATTGATTCTTTCGTTGCATTTAAATTTACATGATTTTAAGCAATCTTTTGTATTTTTAACGCACCTCTCTGGGACATATTTACCTCTTCTACTGATATAAGCTTCACCTTTTTCATGTTTTAATTTGCGGACATTACAAGCCCATTTACTAGGGTTCGGGACTATGCTACGTGATTTTTTCTTTACAGTCTCTTCCTTAACTGCTTGACTTTCTTTGCACCTGGAATATATAAGAATAATAATCAAAGAATTGTATAGACAGGACTATTGAAAATTTAAAAAAAAAGTTATAATAGTAAAGGCATGTCTTTAAACATTAATAATGTCTACATATATCAGACTCCTATGTAAACTATCATAAGTTTAAAAAGCAAATTTTGTGCGACAACATTTTTAACTTTAATGCAATTAAACATGAATCATCACATATAAATAGACAACCAAAATCTACAGTTCTCATTAGTAATGTTGCTTTCAAATTCACATCAAATATACATTGATAAAGTTAATACCAAATTTAAAATTAGAAGTAAAAAAAAATGTGAGAAACGTATTTGTAAAATTATATTTGAATTGTGATATTGTATGTTTGTATAAATAAAAAAAAAATAAGATAAAAATATTAAAAACACCAAACAAGGTGTGAATTGCAAAATGGTAGAATAAGGTGACATCAATTTGTGAGTTACCATTCTATTCAGCCTCCTAAAAATAAAAATAAAAACAATGTATTTGCGGTCTTTTTAGTGGAAACTAGTAACTTTCATCAATTATTTAGCAAAATGTTAATATATATTAATTTTATAAAGAGGAAAGTTTTGTATTTTTGTATGTATACTAAGCCAATTTTAAAAATTCTTTCACCATTAGGTTTATCTGTAACCTATGTTACAGGTAAACCCTAAAACCCCCAGGTAATCCCATGAAATATAAAAATATAGCATAGGCTATATTTTTAAATATCACGGGGACGAAGTCGCGTGCAACAGCTAGTATAAAATAAATTGTAAAATAAAACGTACTCAGTATTCTCATTTATAATTGGCACTTCAACTTCTACTTTAGTGATAACACAGTTTTGGTCCTTAATGTATGCTTCATACTGGCCGTAGAATGATTGTTGAACACCATTTGTAAGAACATGCTGCTTGTATACTGGCACTTGCGGTAATATCACATGTGAAGTTATCTGCATTGAGTTCATATCATTTTGTATTATCTGTGGCAATTGCTGCATACCCTGCAAATGTATTTGCTGACACGACATCATCGTTTGATTCTGCAGTATCTGATGGTTCGTTATCTCATGTTGTACTGACGAAACCGGTATATGTAAGGATTCCGATGTTATTGTTTGTTGGTATGTGACCTTCCCTTGTCCCGTTTGCAACGATGGATGGATAGATACAGACGGATATACTTGAACTATGTGAGGTAGATTCGTTGTTGCCTGTATTTGATCCATTAATGTAGAAATCACGAAAATAAACAACCAAAACTTAAAACTTGCGAATAAATTAATTTACTCTTCCAGTGATCTAGTCTTGAATTAAAGTACTTTACAAACAGTAACTAACGTTCATTGGTGAGCTGTAGAAAAATTGTATTCTTGTATATCAATAGATTAAATAGTTTAATATGTAAAATCCAATAATATGCCACAGTTCCAACTCGAAACAAAACAAAGCAATAAACATGGCCGCGTGTTGACAGTTTTGAATGTCACACGTCAGCTGTCAAACAAAGAGTATACGGCAAAATTCCATTATTTCAATACTTTTTTATCTTTTCTTTATAATGATATTTTGTATTTTTAAATGATCAAAATAAATTCAATTAAGGTTATGTAGAGAAAGTATTTTTAAACCATTTTTTTATGGCAATCTTATCTTACGTTTTTTCGTATTCTTAATACACACTAAATTATTTAACCAATTATGCGGTCAAGAGTTATTGTTTTTAATATTGAAGTTCTAACTGATGGAACATGTTTTGATACCGAATGAAGAAAGGTCTTTAGCGAATGCTTTACGGTTTGATGAAAACATCTCCTCGTACTTTAAACCGTTTAATGTTGTATTTCCGGAATCTTTTGTCCGATTTCAACTAGTTGGCAAACATCGGTTGCCATTTAAGTTAATAGAAATAAAACAACATCGTAAAGGTATATAAAACATTTATTACTTCATAGTAAAATATTCGATATAGTCAACAATACTAAAAGTTAATAATTGCTTAAAATTAAATATACATTTTTGGCCTCTGTAAAATTGTAAATTAAATGCTAGCCTCTTTATTTGTACTTTTTAAATTCTTTGCTTGCTAACTAAACATTCATAATTTCATTTCCTCTTAAATACAAAGTAAATATCACAAAAAAATAACAACCAATTCTAATTACCAATAATATCACTACAAGTCGATTTCTAACCTATTTTGAATAATTTAAAATAATAAAAAAATATTTTGATATGATAATTATCAAACGACAAATATTGCACATTTGTTTTTAAAATTTAAATATTGTCTTTGGTAGTCAATAATCAATGCGTTTTATTTTGAAATCTATTCTCTAAGTAATTGTACACATAATCGTATACGACCAACATGATAGCCCCGCCTGGACCCAGTCGGAGCACTTTTGGCAACAGGCCTTTGTACAGTGCGCGGAAACTGAAAAAAAAAATGTAATTAATTGAACTCTTGTTTTGTCTATTAAAAACGCGGTCAGCCAATACTGAAAAAAATCATCGTGCTTCGATATAAAGATGATTACACAGTGACCTCATCTCTAAGTATTAACTTCCATTCACAACATACCTAATGCCTGTCACTGGGCTTAGAAATATATTTGGCAATTGTTATGCAATATAAACACAACTGTATAATAAATAATATTATATCTTGTTTAACGAAGATCTATCTTACTAATATTATAAATGCGAATGTTTAGATGGGTGGATGTTTGCTAGAGTTCGAAAACTAAACGGCTAAACGAATCTCGATGAAATTTGGCATAGACGTAGAGGACAGACTGGAAGAACACATATTCTACTCGCTTTTGTTTTTTTTTAATTCCACGCGGTCGAAGTCGAAGTCTTATAGAAAACAAAGTACTAGTGAAATCAAGTACTTCATGTTTTCTACAAGTCACACACTCAAAGTTATAATAATTTATTAGGTATGTTTCCAAATCCGAATGACGAAAGAGACCGTCAGGTCTCATTTTGTTAAATTACACCTATTAAGACTTTAACCACAATATGTTGTTTTCAAGTAAAGATAATTACCAAACACTACCTTTAGACAAATGAGTGAGTATAACATAAGTATTATCTTGATAACCTCTTGACTTTTAGTGAAATAATATAAAGTTTTCTTATCAGTAATGCATCTGATAATAAATGTAAATAAACGACGATAACGTTGCTAGAAAACATTTAATTTAGAATTATAGTTTTAAATTTAAAAATCTATATAATATAAGGTATTATCCGAATTTAACGCACCCAAAATCGACAAGCATGCATAGATGTTTAAATCGACACATCCCTATGTAAAAAAACATAAAAAAACGGATGTTTGAATGTAAAAGGAACGAGAAATGTCCGCACCGCAACAAATGGAAGTCTGTCTTCTCTTCTGTCTTATTAAATTAATTTATTTCTCCATTTACATTTTTCACGCTACAAATAAATACTCGTAACCATTTACGTATAGTCATGCGTTCCATGCGTGATATTGTACACAATACCTTTGTGTAAAAGTTAATTTTGTACCTTCTACATAAAGCGATCCTGCCGTGGAATACTTGGATCCGCTCCAGACAGATATTTGCATTACTGAAGCGGTTTCCGAGAATATCGAATCACCGATTGTATTGAAAATATTGTGCCTCAATAACAAAGTTATTTCGTACAAATTTGTTTATAAAGATGACTCTACAAATAATTAGTATTTGTGTAAAAGCTTTATTTAATCGATTGAAACAAGTAATTTTTCCGATAAGTTTTAGATTTCTGGGTCAATTACCAATATGCTACTTATTTCAAACTGTAGTTACCTTGCCTAAGAGCGGGCGTACACCTCTGCATCCATACCAAATTTCATCGAAATCTGTTCAGCCGTTTCGGCTACAAACTCTAACAAACATCCATCCATCCATCCATCCATGTAAACTTTTTCAATTATAATATTAGTATGAAGTATGATATAAATGAAGTAATTCATCTCGATAACGACTGACTAAAAATATCAACTAGTCTATTTGTACAGAATGGCGTTTACGTAAACGCAATTACTATGTTGCAATGAGATATTACTACGCTAGTTACTTTCGAAACAAATCTATCTTTACTTCAAAATATCGGTCAACTAAATAATTACATTTGTCCATCGTAATTGCTTCGAAATTTAGTTAACAGCGCACCCAATTGATCTCTCAACTTTCTTCAATGTCAAACATAAAAGAAACGTAGTTTTGGCATTAAGCCCGATAAAACGAAGATTTTGTGTTTTTTTGAGAGAAATCTTAGTTTTTTCATGACTTGCAGTCTCTAGTGAAGTCGCAGTTAACCGTATGAAATAACATTTGAATCGCTAACAGAGCTTTGACCAATACCTTTGACTAAACTATCGCACAACTGTTCAGTCACGCTTTGATTGCTATGAGCTTGTGCTCACACTACTCGATTTTTTATTGCAACTAAACTATAAAAACAATCACCAATCGCACAACTGTTCCAATCCCAATTCGGTAATAATAACGAAGTAACGGCCCGAGCCGAGGCTCCTGAGAGAGCCATCGAGCCTAGTTACTCATAAAAGAGGTTTAGGCTAAGCGCCATCTGCGCTCGGCCACCTCAAGCCCGGTGAATCTGTAAATGCCTCCTCAAGGCAAACAGTGACGACTAAGTCACAAAAAAAAAACGGTTGTGCGATTGTCTAGTCAAAGGTGTGCGCCCGCTCTTAGAAATCCAGTTTATCAGGATAACAAGTCATTGTAAGAAGTCATTGATCTGATTACTGGTATCGATAATGATTTTATCGACTGTCAATTGTCAAGATTGCAGAATTGTGAAATCGCGAGGGGTCGTCTTATCTAGAAAATCTAATAAAAAACACGATGGACACTTTATATTAAACTAGCTTTCGGCCGCGACTCCGTCCGCGTGGAATTAAAAAACTGAGTAGCCTATGTGTTCTTCTAGTCTATCGTCTATGTCTATGCCAAATTTCAACGAAATCCGGGCAGTCGTTAAGGCTCAAACAAACATCCATCCATCCATTTAAACTCGCGCATTTATAATGTTAGTAAGAGCTAGGGATGGACTATATCCAACAATAGGATGTATTGTAGATGACGATACCCTCTTAAGTCCTTAATCATCAAAAAAATTTAGTCATTTGTTTTTTTTAAGAAATTATCTGCCTATTTCTCCATACCTCCTGTACATAGGTCCCTTAAGAAGCAGAGCCCAATGATTTATTGTACGACTGGTCTTAGCAATAAGTGTTTTTACATATTTTTTTTCATCAACTTCTTAAATATTTTTATTGTCTGTGTATATTTATTTTTTTACTTTTTTGTTACCGCATATCTCCAGCCATGGTGGATCGATTTTTTATTTTCAATTAAGTGGTCGCAAGAAGGCACTGACATCGTCTGAATAAAGAGGGAATCGCGTAATTCTTTGCGGTCGTGGTAGGTTAACAACTATTCTATGTCATAAAAAAATACATTTAAATGTTTTTACTTACCCTTCTTCTCTATACACCAGACTGATGGTACCGACAGTGGAGTTGTATTTAACAATTCCCGGCATAGGCTGCGGTCCTTGTATACGGCTCTTGGCGACATCAAACGGTATATTCACACATGACCCCAGCACTCCGGATGTGAAACCAATCGCTATCTTACGACTGAATTCTAAAAGAGGATCCTGTTGGACAACAAATTATAATTCAATAATTTAAATTAGATTTTTTTTATCCTTTTATTATAATACTGGCCGAAAGGCCGCGACTCCGTCCGCGTAGTATTTAAAAAAAAACAAAAGGAAGTAGTCTGCATTCAACCAGACTATCCTCTACATCAATGCCAAATGCCCAGATTGGTTCAGCTTTTTGGCTACAAACTAACAAACATCCATCCATCTAAACTTTCGCGATTATGTTATTAGTAAGAATTAGGATATTAACCTTGTAACAGTATGTAATAAAAAAAAATTAAAAAAGATACGATTTATTTCATGAAGTAACCTAGTGTTATAAAATTTATTAGTATAATACTAGGTTTTGCCTGCAACTCTGTCCACATGGAATTAAAAAAAACTAAAAAAAAAACAGCCTATGTTCGTCCAGACTATTCTCTATGTCTATGTGAAATTTCATTAACATCCATTCAGACATTTAGGACAAAAACTCTTACAAACATACATCCATTCAGCCATTTAACATTTCACATTTATAACATTAGTTAGATGTAATATCTCTAATTTTATCTGTGTACAAATGATAACAGGATCTCCGAATAAGTACCCTACTTGATACCTTATCAATTTTTTAACATCTGACATATAGTTTATCAAAAGTAAACAAGAGATGGCATAGAAATAAACACTATAGATATGAACATTCAGATAGAAACAGCGATAATAACCAAATACTGAAACAAATCTTAAATATTTAGCTTAACGCTGCTTACAATATGATATCAAAATTTGTATAAGGCTGGCTTTACAGTATGCGCACATCTTAACTAAACTGTCGTACAACTGTTTAGTCTAGCTTTGATTTCTATGAACTTATAAGCCTACTACTCGATTTTTAGTTGTGCAACTAAACAGTTGAATCCCCTGCAAAACAATTGACAATCGCACAACTGTTTAGTTTAGTCAAAACACTCTTATTATTAACACTGTTCCATATTTAAA